AAACAATCAATGTACAAAACTCAGCAACACTGGTATAAACCAATAATTAACTTAACTAAAAAAAATCATGAGAACAGTTCCAAATAAAATAGCTCCAAAAAGCAAAATATCTAGGAATATTTTTTTCAGAAGCAGGAATTGAACTCAGGCCCTTGCGCTTGCCAGGGAAGTGCTTATTCCACTGAGCCATCTCCCCAGTACCCTATCTAGGGATGATTTTAAGCCAGAAAGTGAGAGAAGTCTGCAGTGACAATGACAAAACTGTGATGGAGTCAAAGGAAAAGAATTCAAGGAAAGCAAAAGAACTCCCATGTTTATTGATTGAAAAAAAAAACATTGTTTAAAATGTTCACAGAGTTCAAAGCGATCTATAGCTTCAATTCATACAGCTTCTTCACAAAACTGGAAAAAATAATTATAAAATTAATATGGAAGTATAAAAACCCCACCTAGATACAAAATTTTGAGGAAAAAAATGGACAATGATAAAGATAAAATCACATTTCATTTCAAAATATTCTATGTGGCCATCACAACCAAGAGGCATGCTAGTAGCATATATTAAGACTGACGGGACAAAACACAAGAGCCGGAAATAATCCTGCAGATGTATAATCAATTGATATTCAAAACATTTAGAAAACCACTAACTGAAGACACGACTATGCAATACAACAAAGATGGTGAAATTCCTATTGTTGTGTTTAAAGAAATTTTGTATCATTTCTAATGTTTTTTACTATTTATTCTCTTTTTTTAACAATAAGAGAATGATTTATTGGAGTAGTACACTTATATTTCTGTTATAACTTTTATTCATTTTAATGAGAAAAAAGATAAAATAGCAATGAAGCAGTTTCAAAGCAGATTAGTAGGACATTTACTATAATTAACACTTTGCATATAATTGTCTTCATTGTAGTTATTCAGAGGACAAGATGCAGATATGACATCTTGTCTGAACAATATTAGCACAAATATTCATTCTCAGTGAACTAAGAGAAAGTACCTGTATACCTATTCTAACTCTCTTATGTATACATATATTTTTTCCTTCCCCCCCCCTTTTTTCACAACAAAACTGTCCTTTATTTACACTTTTGTGAAGTTAGCAATGCGTGATGCTAGGTGGATTAGTAACTAATAGCAAACCTCAACCAGACAGGATGTTCATCTCAGGACTGAGGTAGCTTGCTTCTTTTAGGCACTGAGCCAAGTCCCACCTACATATATTTGATCGATTTCCTAGCTTCATGGCTCCCAACATATCCCCCTTTTTCATTTTGTTTTTTCAGAGATGGGTATTCCACTGCAGTTAGAGAAGTTGTATTTGGAGACATCTTTAAAGGACCTTTTCATACTTGAAACCAGTCTAAAGATTGTTGGTACTTAAATTCAGCAAAATAATCCAATACAGTCCAATAGTTCATAACAGTAGTGGGTTATCGAGAAAACTGGCAATGTCTGAAGTTGTTGACTTGAGCCTTTTACAACTCAGCATATTAATACGGCATTACTTTTTAGACCTTGTAGTTATACTTTTCTGCTGGATGGTTAAGATCAAGTTAAAGCAAGACCTATATAACTAAAAAATGTAACTTTTGCATTTGGCAAAGTCAGTCAAATCCCCTTTATTCCACTTAAGAATAAAAAACAAAAACAAACACAGAAACAGGTCAGTATTTTTAATAAGTAGTATTAAGAAAACTGGGTATTCACATATGGAAGTTTGAAACGTAATCCCTCTCACTCTAGCAAAAATGTAATCCAGAATGGATGAAAGGGTAGAGACTTGAAATTACTGAACTGTGAAAAGAAAGCAGGGGAAAATACTTGCAGACACTCGTGCAGTTGTTTGTTGGTATGTTTTGATAAGACAACAAAAACACATGAAACAAAATTGAAAATAGACAAGTTTTATCAAACTAAGAAGGTTCTGAACAGTAAATGAAACAGAACAATAAAGGAACAGCCCTATGGAATGAGAAATAAATTCTAAACCGTTCATCTACTAAGAATTATTTTATAGAATTATAAGGAACAAAAGCTGTCCCATAAAATAGGGGAGTTTTGTATGAATGGGCCTTTTGCAAACTCTGAAATTCAAATGGCCTACAAATGCATGAAAAAAAAATGAAAATTTTATTTGTCAAGGAACTCAACGTTAAAACTACTATGAGATTCAAGTTGCATGCACTTTCCTACGAAGGCTTAGGGATTATTTTTCTTTATAGCTGAGTAATATTCCACATATAAAAACTCCACATCTTTTTCATCCATTCCTCAGGAAATGGGCATTATAGTTTTTCCAAGATTTGGCTATCACAAATTGTGCTGCTATAAACATAGATGAACATAAATCAGTATGATATAAAGTTTTCAGTTCTTTTGGGAAAATTCCCAGAACAAGGATAGCTGGATTGAAGGGGATTTCCAGTCCCAGTTTTTTGAGGAGGCAACACACTGATTTCCATAATGGTTGCACCATTCTACATTCTCACCAGCAGCGGGGAAGGATTCCTTTTCCCCTGCAGCCTCTCCAACATTTGTTGTTGTTGGTTGATTTCTTTATCATAGCCATGGTTCCATGTATATAACATATATATGATAGTTAAGATAGATATACAGCTACTTTCTTTTAGTTCAAAGAGAAAAAAGGTTTGTGCCAGTACTGTTTAGACAAGATCTCACGTCTATACTTTTCCTCTGAATAACTTCTACAAAGACAACAATATGCAATGTATTGATTATTGTAGCTGCCCTACTAACCTATTTTGAAAGTATTTCATTGCTAATTTATCTTTTTTCTCATTTCATTTAAAATGAATAAAATGAAAAGCTACCATGAATTACCATCTGACACCTGTTGCAATGGCTCAAAGAAAAAAAGCAAAATAAGCTCAATGTTGTCTCACATGAGAAATCAAAAATAGAAAACAGGTTCTAAAAACAAGAGGAAAATTAATCAGTAGGAAACATGGTTATTATTTTTTGGAAAATGTGAAGGATATCTAGAGACAGAGGGCCAGATGAAAAGAGAGAAAGAAACAGAGTCAGGGTATGTTGAAAATGTAGTCAAACCCAAAGAGGAGTGCAAACATGGACTATTAAAAATATTTAAAAAGGCAAAAACAGTACTGAGCAGGATGCGTAGCAGAACAACTCTTACACACTGTTTTTGGAAGGTAAATTAGGATATCCATGACAGCACGGAGCTTCTAAAAATAAGTGAAAATGGAGTTACTACAGGAGAGAGTTTCCCAACTTCATGACATTTACTGAAAGAAAGGAAATTACTATATTAATAAAAATTGTCCATTTGTTTTATTACAGCCTTTTTCACAAGAACTAAGCAAGGGAAACAACCTGAGTGCCCAGCAGATATGGCACGTATACACAGTACAGTATTATGTAACCATGAAAAAGAGTGAAATCCTAGCACTTCTTACAACACTGCAGCAAATACGTACTGTTCTGCTTCTAGAAGCTAAGGAGAAGGGCAAATTCAAATAATAGCTCTAGATTAAATATAAAACAAACATGAAAGGAAATCATGGACGCTGATTTTTTACAAAAAAAAAAATTCATCTCCTAGGGTACTGTTTTCTATTAATTGGTGATCGTATATCCAAACACATTCTTGATAAATGAATTTTATTATGGAATGTCATGTGATTTGTTTCTGAAGAGTCAACCATGCATTTACTCATGCATTGCGCATTAGTAATTTCAGGTTATTGGCAACTGAATATGCACAAAATCTTACTGGTGGCTTTCCGTGTTAGTGGTACTGCATGATTTACTGTCCCTCTAGGCTACTGTCCCAGTACAACTTTTGGAGGTTAATTAGCAGTTGTGCAAGTCACTCTCCCTCAGGTCCTTAGGTGCAATTTGTTTATCCACAAATCACATTTAACCTTTAAAAGAATGAATCCCAAAGAGGACAAAGAAAATCTGATGGGTTCTGTAACAACCTGTGATAATTAGCTCAAGAAGAGGCCAAAGCAGAGCTCCAGTGAAGTGAGTAGAAATAGCAAAATTTTTTTGATTTTTAAATGTTTAAATCACATTTTAATAGAAAATAAATGAAAATTAGTTTGTTATCCTGATTTCACAGTGTTGGTCTGAAAAGGACATAAATCTTTAACAATTTTTAAGAGCAAACAGTTTAAAATGCATTGTAACCTCGGATCTGGGAGGCTCTTCAAATGAGCAGAACTACTTCTGCCTTTGGAATACAGTTATTGTCTTCCAAAGTGTTGCAGGTCAGAATAGACCTCTTGCTCACTTCTCAGTACTTCACCATGTTCATTACTTACACCAGCTTACTGCTTCATGCATGTGCCTTGACCAGGGCTCTGTCATTAGTTTTCTGAGGTTTCTTCTCTTCCATCCCCATTTCCCATCTCCTCAGAGTGTCCTGCATGAAGAGGTGGCCTGTTCTGCAGATAAGATGATGGATATGTTGGCTGAGTTAGATGCCCAGACTTATGTATTTATGTCTTCTAAAATTTATTTATTCACTTATTCGTGAGACAAGGACTCACTAAATGGCTAAGCTTCTCAGGCTAAGTGCAACCTTGCAGTTCTGCCTCAGGCTCCCACAGGGCTGGGATTTCAGGAGCAGACCAGTGCATTCAGTCTGAGATTATAATCTTAAATTAGGGGACCCAGCCCAAGCTCGGTGTGTGAGTGAGATAGAATGGCACTATTTGAACCCTGCCTTCACCGCTAAGATGTAAAGGAAACTTGTTAATTTACCCAATTCTCTGAACCTGTTTCATTGTATTTTAATGAATATTTTATGATTACCTGCTTCCTGGTATATTGTGTGCATCATATTAGTATTTGTAAACATGCTTATAAAATTGCCTGGCAACCAGTGTAAACACTTTAGTTGTGGAAACTCAAGAAAGTAAGGTAGAAGATGTGAAATCACACTGTCTGGTCCAGTCCTTTTCTGTAGACAGGGAATGTGCGGGCCACATCATTTACTGGAAATGCCATCTGCTATAGAGGCTGTGCCACCCGCTGGCATTCTTGGAGTACTGATTCCGCCTGGAAAATGGGCAGATGTGGCAAAAGCAGGTGAAGATACTAGCAACGTTGAACATGGTGCTAGTCGAGTACTGGATTTTCCGAACAGTGAATAAAATGAGCATTGAAGGGTGTATTCAACAAAAGCTTTCAGTCTTTTTAGTCTTTTTTCTTTAAACAGATATAAAGACTACCAGTAAGGTAAGATATTCCTTGTTTAGATGCAGATGTCTGTTCCACAGATTTCATGAAAAATTAAAAAAACAGATAAAACTATAGTTCTTTTCATATACTAGGACAACTTGGGCTCTAAAGAAAAATGTATTTAGTTCTTTTGGGAAAATTCCCAAAAGGGGACTAGTTGGGCAAAATGTGACCTCTAATCTTTGACCTCAAGAACACCCCACAATGGTGTCCGCAGTGGTGGTAGCACTCTGCACTCCACCAGCAGTGGAGACGGGCTCCCTTTCTCCACAGACCGGAGAGCATTTGTTATCTGTTGCTTTCTTCGTGTTAGCCATCCATTCTGGGGTGAGATGGAATCTCAGTGTAGTTTTAATTTACATTTCTCCAATGATCAACGATATTTAACATTTTTCATGTATTTATTTCACATCTATATCTCTTTATCTTATTCATCTTATATGTGAAATGAATCAGACTCACATGTGTAACTGTTGTATTGTCTTCCTAGTGTAAGAAACTGAAAGAGTAAATAAGATCCAAAATATACAATAAATAATTATGAAGGGAAAAGAAACATCTCAAAAGGAAAGAACAATTGGGATCAGGAAAAGGAGAAGAAAATTGTGTGTGTGTGTGTGTGTGTGTGTGTGTGTGTATGTGTGTGTGTATAATATTTATATATGTGCTTTTTATATATAATATATATACAATATTGTATATGTGAGAGCTAAAATAATTGTGCTATTAATGTCTATTAGCTCAATAAAAAGAATAGTTTGTACTTATATTGTTTAATTTTGCATGATTATATCTTGTAATCTGATCAATTACTTTGAAGACACAGTATGCAATATGTTAACCATTAATCTCCTATTATTGTGTCTTGAAATTAGGTATCATTTTTTCATCATTTTTTTCTCTTTAAAACAAAATTTAAAATGTAAGAAGCGTTTATCAATATCTGTATGAAAACAACCACTTTCAAATATCTTGCCTTTTAAAGTTTCATCGAGTCGGGGATACAGCTCAGTGGCATAAATACCTACCTGGCAAGCACAAGGTCCCACGTTCAATCCCCGGTACCATAAAATAAACTAAGCCAAAATAAAATAAAGTGTCATCGAACATGAGCACAGCTCTATACAATGTTGGCCAGATAAGAAGCAGGAGCATCACTTAGTGTTTGAGATGAAGGCATCTCTATGTCATATATACCATACGACAAATTCTCTGAGGTGGCATTTCCTATATAATTGGTGTTGATTTTATCTTTCAGCAGGTTACCAAGATGAGCCTTAAGAAGAACCTCAATCACTCTGCGGCAGCTCAGGTCACTGAATTCATTATCTTGGGGATTACAGAAAACCCTCACCTCCAGCTGCCCCTCTTTGCAATCTTCCTCATCATCTACCTGGTCACAGTGATGGGCAATCTGGGCATGGTCACCCTGACCCATTTGGACTCTAAGCTCCACAATCCTATGTATTTTTTCCTTAGACATTTGTCAATAACTGATCTTGGTTACTCTACTGCCATTGGCCCAAAGATGATGGTAAATTTTGTAGCTCACAAAAATCCCATTTCTTACAGTGGTTGTGCCACCCAGCTGGCATCCTTTGAGATTTTCATCATTACCGAACTGTTTATCCTCTCAGCAATGGCCTACGATCGCTATGTAGCCATCTGTAGACCTCTTACATACATGATTGTCATGGTAGACAAAGTGTGTTGGGCTCTGGTTGTCACCCCCTACCTCTACAGCACATTTGTGTCGTTACTGCTCACAGTGAAGTTGTTCACATTATCTTTCTGTGGCTCTAACATTATCAGATATTTTTACTGCGACTGTCTCCCTCTGATTGCCATGCTCTGCTCCGACACACGGGAATTAGAATTGATTGTCTTGATCTTCTCTGGCTGCAACTTGCTGTCCTCATTCCTGATTGTTCTCATATCTTACGTGTTTATTTTGGTGGCCATTGTCAGAATGAATTCCACCAAGGGGAGGTACAAAGCCTTCACTACCTGTAGCTCCCATCTGACAGTGGTGGTGGTGTTCTACGGCACACTGCTGTTCATATACTTGCAGCCCAAGTCCAGCCACACTCTCAGTGTTGATAAAATGGCCTCTGTGTTTTATACCTTGGTGATCCCAATGCTGAACCCACTGATCTACAGCCTGCGCAACAAAGAAGTCAAAGATGCCCTAAAGAGAACCTTAAACCGTGGGTTCAGAATTACCATCTATGGGGCCAGGGAGATGGCTCAATAGGATAAGCGCCTGCCTGGCAAGTGCAAGGGCCTGAGTTCAATCCCCAGTCCCACCAAAAAAAAAAAAAAGAATTCCCATCTAATATTCAGTGTCAGCTTTTGTTTAATACTCTGTCGTTGCACTTCAGAATCAAAAAGTAGAAATATCTTCTCATTTTGTTTTTCTTTTTATCAGAACAAAATGCTTCATATACCAAACCATGCTTTTTCAGGTAGGTACAATAAATAAATATAGTATTAAGATAACATAAGCCATAAGCAACATTCATAATTATATGGGAAATTTTATTTCTTACATAGAAGAAAAATCATACAAAAGTTTCGGTTGAACTTGGACTTACCAAGACAAAATTCACTCTATTTATTTATATTTACTTTATAGAAAAATAAAACAAAATTTCAAAACAAAATAATATGAGAATAACAGTTAATATATAGAGTGTTACCTTCAAGTGAGTTTCTAAGCATGTAAGACAAAGGCGTAAATGATTCTCCAAGCAATATTAACACAAACTTTTCCTTTCAATGAACTAACAGAAAGCAGTATAACTTTTTTATCTCTCATCTCCCCTTCCCCTTCCCTGAGTCATCTTTCTTTTTGAATATTTTATTCCCATTTCATAACATCTATTGTATATTTTGAACCTTATTTACTCTTTCATGTTCTCACACCAGGGTGGCTTTTAAATAGTTGAAAGGGAGTAAAATTAGTCATAGAACTAAGAAGTTATCTAAAATAGTCACTGGGTGTTAAACATGCAAAAGATCACACTGTGAGGAATGTGTTGGTTACAGTAGATTCAAGTAATTAATTATCATATTACATCAGAACACAAAAATATTTTCAAAGATTAATTCTACATATAAAATAAAAAGTGCCACCTTAGAATGACTTGCAAATTAAGTTAATGTTTTTGTATCTCGATAGGGCTCATATGAGGAAAGTTTTTTTTTAGCAGACCAATGCAAAATATTGTTGGATAACTCTATACTTTGTTTCACGGATTGTCACGCTGTAGTGAGCTTTGGATTTTGATTGCTTTATGATATATTGATTTAGGGTTGAAAACCTTAAACTAAAAAAAAAAAATAATAACCTGAGCATGTACTGGAATGACGCTAAAAGTTTGTAAATATATGTGGTGATTATACACATTAAACATGAAAGAGTTCATTGCACGTTTATTCCTGACTCTGTTTGGTATCCGCTATGAGCTTACAAGCAGTGTCTGTGGAGCTGGAGCTAACAGGACGCTTCCCTCGCCCTGAAGCTTCTCAAGCCCCATAACACGCACGGTCTTTGCAGTGAATCCCTCCATTCTTATCTCTTGTCTTCTAATTATAAAAAGATATAATCTTTCTTGATGGAATTTTCTTAGTCCAAATTTTCTAAATGGAGCAGATAGCCTTTCTCACTTTAAGATATAAAGAAGCCATAATTAAACAAAAACTATTATCTTTTCTAATTGCTATTATTTAGATTAAAAGTCCCCAAATTGTGATGTGTCCAGAGGTGGGACTTTTGGAAGGTTAGTTCATGGTGGTGCCATATTGGTCGGTGGATCGATGCATCTATAATTTCACAGCAGAGTGTGCTGTGGGGAGCCAGGGCCGTGTTGGAGGTGGTGAGTTCCTGGCTGCCTGCTGTGCTGCAGGGTGCCTTCCTTGCCCACGCCCTGTCTCCATTCGCCTGTGAGCCGCAGGCCTCCTCCGGCCCTTGCACCATGCGTCTTTGCCTCGCAGCCCAATAAACATGAGCTGTGCTTTCCGACACCATGGTCACGTATGTACATCTCATTCTTCAATTGTGTGTGTGTCAGATACTTTGTCCCTGCAACAGGAATGTGAAAATACTAATTTATAAACACCTTAATTACTCCTCTCTTAAATATATGCCATAAGGTTCAGATCAGGTATAAGTCTTAAAAGCTTATTTTAAATTACACAATAAAATATGCATAAGATTTGAATAGTAATTGCAACAATTATTATCACAGGTGGCTGTTGCCATGGGGAGTACATCCAGTTCTGTCTTCACATATGCCATGAAGCCCCTCACACATAACACTAGCTATTTCTACATAGTATATGAGACATCCAACATCCAGATTAGCCCAAACAATCTTGAAAATGAAAGTTGGAAAGCTAAAAACATGTATCTCAAAACTGGTTACATACCTACAGTACATGAGGGGAAATCTGGATGGAATGAAAAGAATTGTGGTGTGTGTGTGTGTGTGTGTGTGTGTGTGTGTGTGTGTGTGTGTGTGTGTAGGGTGGCAAACAGAAGTTGCCAGAACAAGATAAGATTGTAGCTGAAGGCCATGGTATAATGGATATCTTGTGGTGGGCATAGCTGCACGTAACAAAGTTGTTTTTAGCACATTCACAGAAGCTTCAGTTTGATGACAAATCATATAACATGGCTGAGTTCAGTGGCAGGAAACAGAACGACTGCAGCTTTGTTACAGAATGGCTTGTGGTTAGGTGAGGATTTCTGCTTCATTGTGTCAAGAACAAAATGGCAGTCTACTCACCTTAGGGAAGGCACGTGAAACACACGCCAAAGAGTGATTAGTCCGGTGACCTATGACAGAATGATGAAGAGGAGGCTCGGCGTCCTCAGTAGTCAGTGAAACGAAGTTAGAACAGCAGGAAGAAACCACTTGGCAACCACTCTTTGGAACCATGATGCAATCTTGCAATTGCATGACCAACAGACACGGATCACAAGTTCGAGTCCACCCTGGGCAAGTTAGTGATATTGTGTCCCAAGATAAAAATGGAAAGGTCTGTATGATTGTACCTCATCAGTAAAGCATTGGGCTATTTTGATTGAAGCACTGGGTCCAATCCCTAGCATTGCAACTATTATTATTAATACAGCAATAAAAATAAATTATGAAGTATCAAAATGATATCAATTATCAGTTACTATTTTCGGTATTTAAAACCATCATGCATTGCTAAGTGGCTTTTTCAATAATAGGTTGACAATTTTAAATGCTATTAACCATATCACTACTTTCGTGCTCAAGAATTTGATTCTTTGTTTTTTATTTATCAGGAGTGAAAATATACTCTGAAAAAAGCGCATGCACAACTGCGTCACTGATGGTATTATTCACATAGCAGCAAAAGAAAATGTTTTATTATTCATCAAAAAATAAATAAATAAATTACGGTACATTTATACACTGGGCAACATTTAGCAATAACATGCAGCGAACTGCACACACACAAAGCAGCTTGGAATAACATCAGTAATATGAACCAAAATCTTACATCATGTCATTCTTTCTCCAACAAGTTCTAAAACAAGTTAACAAATACATCATCAAACAACCACAAGATATGTGATCTGGGATACGGTATGGGGAAACTGATTGAAGGGAGACACTGGGAAATATTTTAGTGTCACGGAAGTACCCTTTTAATGTGGAGCAAAACTAAAAATTTGGAAATATGAAACACATATATGAAAAATTTTAAAATGCAGTCTATAACTGTTTTAGCCAAAAGTTAAATAATAAAATCCTTTCTTTTGTTTGCCCAGGATTCTAAGTAGTCGTCGCTAAATAAAAAGGGTGTGTTTGCAAGGTGCTGCGGTTATGCTGATCCTATGTTGTGCGCACCGCGATCAAGATGGTTTATGTCCATCACAGCGTGCTTGTGAGTGTGTGTGTGTATGTGTGTGTGTGCGCGTGTGGGTGGGTGGGTACGTGTGTACCAACTAAATGAGCTTCATAAACTGCAGTCATCATGCAGGGCTGGAGCTCTTCAGAACCCACTCACGCCCTGATAGTTGCATCATTTCATTACTTATTTTACTTCTACAGATTTTGCATAACCAAGAAATCATCTTTTCCTCCCTTCTAGTGCTTAAAATAAATGACTAAAAATAATCCTATTCCTCAGTTGATGGTACCAATAATACTCAAGCCAGCAAAGTTTCTGTGTTAATTTCTTTCCAATCCTTTTTGTGAACTAAATTGTGCCCAAATCCATATGTTTTAAACCTAAAACCTACTCCCTGAGATGGGGCTATGTTTACACATCGGGCTTTTAAAGAGGCATTTAAATTAAAACCAGTCACCTAGGTGCACCCTAATCCAGGACCGCTTCTGATTTATTTATTTATTTAGCCAGCCCAGCCCACCCTAGAAGTGGGCTGGCGCAGCACATGGGGCCAGGGATCAAACCATGTTGCCTGCGCTTGACTAAGCTTACCTAAGCAAGTGTTTTAGACCCCTGAGTTCTCTTGAGGTCCACACCCCTATGTTTTATTTTGAAGAGAAAAACAAAAGTTTCACAACAAGGTGATAGGAGGTTAAAAATGATCAATACATTGTGTACTTTTATCTTTAAAATAGTTGCTCATAGTACAAGACTTCGACTTCGACGTTTGCTTGTCCAAACAGGGTGTGATTCCTGCTCCTTGTACTGTTGTGAGTGGGACACACACAAGTGCATCGATGGGCTAAGTCACAGAGAAGCGAAGGCACAGCAGGACGGGAGGCTTCGGGGGAGAAGAAAGCGGAGCCGGGTGGCTTGCCTGGGACCTCTGGCTGTCAGGACTATCATTGCTTAAACTGTTCTCTCTGTGGAATTGTGTGTGACAGCCATCAAAAATTAGTACTTTTGGGTCTGGCTAGATAGTTCAGTGGTCTAAATCTCCTGCTTAGGCAAGATGAGACAGGTGCAGGGGACCACGGTTAGATACCCAGCACCACATGCTGCGCCCACTAGCCCTCAGGACAGGCTGAGCCAGACAAAACAAAGAGTCCCAGGTCCCCATTTTGATCCCCAGTAACAAAAAATAATAATAATGAATATTAATTCTCCTCCTTTTCTCTTTATTTTCTTTTTTCTAGTCCCAGTACATTCCACCTAACAAAGACTAAGGCCTTCAGCATCTTACCTCTGAAACTCCTCATCCACATAACCAAGACTCTTGGGAAGTCTAGTGGACAGGCCAGAGCAGCCAGCACTGCCTGTCCAGACAATATGCACGGAAGGACCCTGAGAATGGGACAAACCAATGTGACGTGCAGATACAGCCTTCCTGGCTCTACGCGCAGGCAGCTGTTGCCAGGAACGTTGGCTAGACAATGGCACAAGGCAAACTCATGAAGACACTCCTGCATGATTTGGAAAACATCCTCCCAGTAATAACTGAGTGTGGGACAGTGCGACCATCCAACCCCTTGCCCAGGACACTTCCTGAGTTACCCCTTGTCCTGTCTGCAGCCAGCTAACTGTGGCTATGAACCAGTCTAGCACCACCACTGAATATTCTGAGTATCTCTAACCACTTTCCTCTCTGCCCAGCTACCCCTGCCTTTTATGATTTAATTAATATCTCAGTTAATTCCCTCCTTTCCTATTGGTGCTGCAATAAATCTTATCCCTCACAAACCAGCTCCAAGTATTTTCTTTGATCGCTTGCCAACATACTGAACTGCAAACAGCACACCAGCACACTGTTTCCTGGCGTTCTTAAAAATTCTACATTTCTGTGCAGTGTGGATTCATCATATTTTATATAAATGTCCTGTATCTCTACTTCTATATGTGTATTTGCAAAAAAGGTTTAACTCCCAAAGAAGGTGATTTATCCATTTACCTATTACATCTTGTCTACACCATTTGTTAAATATTTATATTAGATATTGCATGAATAGACTATAGATAACTAAAATATTTAGTATTGAAAAACGCAGTTGTTCATCAGGAAATTTATAGGCATCTTCTCCTATGAAAATCATGTTTGAGTCTTTTCTAGCATTTGTCTATACTCTTGTCTTGTCTCCCCTGAAATGGAAACATAAACAAAAGATGAAAAGAATAACTTTATCTTGTATATCACCCATTTTTATCACCCTCTTTGTACCAACCCTGGAAATAATGAATACGACACATCTGATGGTAAAGTAAAAGAGGAGAAATGATGTTTTGCCAACCGAGATTTCGGGATTATAAACAAACTTTTATGGATACAGTTTGTCCTACTTTCACTGCTACATCACCAGTTCCTAGCTCTTCATCATTAGAGCTTTTTCACTAATAGATCTCCAGCTGGAAATGAGATCCCTTGACGGATACACCGCGATCACTGCCTCCCTTAGAGGTCCGGGAGTTGAGCTCCGTTCAGCAATGCGGTCTTGGAGCACTCAGAAGAGCCCGAGTGAATCCCTCCAGGGGACCTTGTGAAGGAGCCAGCCCCCAGGGCGTCCTCCTCTCAGAGGTCCCAGAAAACGTGTGGAGCAGGGGTTACCTGGGCCTCCATTACCGTCCCAAAGGTTTATACAGCCCATCAGCTCTGGCTGAGGCAGAGAGCTAGAACCTCTCTGAGAACCTGCTTCTTCCATGGAGGTGAGTGGATAGCAGTATATTTTACTTTTTTATAATGGTCTTTCAAAAGACAAACCAGGCCTTAAAATGAGCCATTCCACTCTGGTTTTACAAAGCATTATAAATTATACATAGTAATCCAATAATATGATTTAATATTTATGCTAATGTTGCTTTATAACACTTTTGATATTTTTAGAGACACAAGGTATTCTGTGAGACCCATGTACTTATATCTACAAATTAGAATTGTTTTTGTCTCATATATTAAGCAGTGTATATATCACTACTTTAACCAGATTTTGCTTAGTGAAATTGCTTATGTCTTAACTTACTGTAACTGTGTTCTCTACAAATGAATGCTGTATACTTTCACTATTGTTATTATGAAAGAAAAACTGATACACAAGTAGTACCAAATCTCAAAATTATTGCCTTTTTTTTTGGAAGCATGGCCAAAAAATGGATAACTGATTTTCTAAGGCAATTTATCAATGAAATGTGGTGACATAAAGTCAAACATGACAGGTAGTATAGTGTGATCAAAGTAATAATCAAACATTTGAAGAAATCATATGTCCAACAGTAAAAATCTTCCTGTCAATCTTTAACTTGAAAAAATACCAAAAAGAAGGATATTGAGAAGATACCAGCAAATCGTACTTCTGAGAAGAGGCTTTTGTCTTTCTAAGCTGCTGGAAGGCTTTACGTGTAGCAGCCTGTCGCCAACTTAATGAGACAAGCTCTCCACATATTTTCAAGTAGGAAATAAAACACAAAGAAAATATCCTTGCTTGTTTTTTTCTAGCCTAAATAACTTCAAATAAAATGTTCAAAAACAAATTGACTTTTATTTTCACTGCTCCTAAAGTAGAATTGCTACATTAGGCTAGTCATCAGGGAGAAAAAGAAAAAGACTAAGAGAGGATCTATGAGGGTATTTGCTTAACTGAGGGTAAATTTCCATGATAAAAGAATATTTGCTGAAAGATAGAAAAACAGATGAAATAGACAAAAAGTGCTCTCCTTAACACTGAAGATACCAACTACTTGAAAGACTAACCTTACCAGCATACTATAGATTTTAGCATTTGACTGCCTTAATCTTTAAGGATTATATATAATATTGTAAGTGATAATACTCTGTGAACATCCAAAGTATAATAAGTTAGAAACACTGCTCTTGTTTCTTATTTTTAACCATACACTGTTGTACGCGGAAGTGTCACAGACATTCACTGAAGTGCAAAAAAATGCAGCATTCATAGAAGCCCAGCTTTATGGACTCCTTGCTGCCGTTTACTCTTTCTCTTGCACAGCCTGGAGCCTGCACATGGGGTACCCACAGGTGATGTGAAGGGGACCTCATGTTTCTGCATCCAATTCTCTGTTCAGCATCTTCTTTCTCTCAGTTTCTGCTTTCTCCATTTTTTTCTGCCTATCATTATAGTACCACAGAATATCCTGTGCTGATACAACAACCATCTAAGTGATGGTTTATTTTTATTTTTAAAAACTTCCTCTTATGCCCCAGTGCTAAATTTTTTCAGTATCATGAGTCATTGTGTTCCTAACAGCAGAAGTAATGGATTTAAAGCTCAAAGCTGATCACATTAATCACCTACCCTAATAATTCTCCATGGTTTACAATTCCCTCACAAGAGATAAATACTGAAAGACATATTAGCCAATTTCTTCGATGCTCTACTTCATTATAATCTACACACTTAAGATGCTCCTTCCTGCACATAAAATATAATGCTTTAAAAATTATTTTCTATCTCTAAGTGGCATTATTCCCACTTCCCAGTACCTGGAATCCTGGACTTTCTATCTCTGACTCATCAAATGTGTGTAACCTTCTATCGCTTTAGGTGTCACTAGCATGTTACCTTCTTAGAGAGGATTTCTCTCACATACCATATGCTGTCATGCCAGAGGACATTAGTACACTTTCTTGTCTAATTTACGCACTACAATTAATACACCAAGAATTATCTTCCTTGAATACTTTCTTTTTATAGACCTTTTCTTCTGTCTTTGGGACAGCAGTTTATGTGGTGAGGAAGAAGTGATGTCTTGGAAGCTTAAAAGTCATTAGAGTAGAAACACAATAGAAATCTGCTTCAGAGGCAGATAAGAAACTGAAGGAAAAAAAAACAAAGGAAAAAAATGACATTTGTCAGGAACAAACATCCTATATGCACCAGTGTAAGAACTTAGTTTGATCATTTAACTCTGATTTTTCACATTGTTCTTTCATGTTTTTCATGGTTCTAGAATGTCTTTTCCATTTCATGTTAATTTTTTGGAGAAAGGAAACATAAGCTGTTCTGAGAGCTCACTGCTCAGACACTGATGGTGAAACAAGTCACCTGTGTGGACTTTCGCTCCTCAAGCTTTGGGTGAAGGACTGTGACATGATGCCCGTGGGCTTGGCGCCATCCATCATGACTGCGAAGGGACTGTAATGGCTTAAGTAGGAGCAACTCAATGTCCTTGAACCATCAGAGGATAATCCTCATCCAGATTGAAATAATACACAATAAAATGTTAAATATGTATTTTATATTTTTCGTAGAAAGGGATCAGAGTAAAAAAAGAAAAAGAAAGGTATCTATCATTATAAACAGAAATATGAAAGAAAATTTTCTTAACAGGACTAATCAAAATTAGACATTCTATAAATTATAAATAAAGTAAAATGCAAAAATGATCAATGTAAATAAAAATAATGGAAGAAATATGAATAATTATGCAGACTTGTGAAATGGAAAAGGAAAAAAGAATGATGAAAGGTACTGGAAGAAATTCATACCCAATAAAGAATAATGTCAACAAATTTAAAAGTAATACAATTTTCACCACTATAATATTGTAAAATATTAAAAGGAATAACAGAACCTGTAAAACAGATCTAAGCACATTGAAGTATGTATTTTTCTCTTAGCTAATACAAATTAAAAATAGGAACAAAACAGTTTACAGGAGAATATTAATTCACGATTGGAAGAAACCTCATCCAAGAATTCCCAAAGATCTCTCATGAATCTACCCAAATACAATATTTTAATTTGTTACTCTTTCCTATCTTCTTTAAACAGATGCAACTCTAAAGCGCATGGCTCCAGGTAATATGACAGAGATCGCTGAGTTCATCCTCAGAGGGGTCAACGACCGTCCCGAGCTGCAGGTTCCCCTCTTCCTCACCTTCCTGGTCATCTACGCGCTGACCGC